GGTGGAGTTGAAATGTAGACCGTTGCTGTAGGGATATGTATAAACGGTGTTGTGGAAGAGTTTTAAGAATTCACATGGGGAGGTGGATAATACGTATTGAAGGGGAAGGCCTTTTTCCACTCAAATAAATATGAGGTTTGACATTTCGAATACGTCAGTACCTGGCGGAAGACAGTGTTACAGCTGCCAAAATGTTGCAATAAAACTAAGAATGTTCCAACGATCCAATATATATTTATACATTTTCTCCGAAAACTCAGACAAAATATAATGTTGTGAAGAACTGAACGACGAATTAGTGATGAAAATAATATGTCCACCACAACCACATTTCCTTTTCATTCACTCAGTATGTCCTCCTAAGTTGAAATTAAATGATCCATCGTTAAATATTCTCAGTAAGATCCTCTGAATGTTCTCTTCTTGTTCTTGTAACGGCATTCACCCGGGGTGGGTTGAGCCGGCTCCAATATTGGAGTTTCATGGGAATTTGGAATTCACAAGCGGTCCCCAACCCGCATGTATAGCACATGAGATTTGATTATAGTGGTGAAGGTTTCGTGCAGGACCATCCACACTTTTTAAATGGCCGATTACAGAGACCTGGTGCACTACGTGCCACAAGGTCCCCAAACGACCCTCCGCAGGTTTTGAATTCAGAGTTTTCCTTCTCCTAGACCAGTTGCCATCCAAAGCTATAGAACCCAGTCTGCCCTGCTATTTACCCATAGCTCGAGGGAGAAGAAGAGGATTCACACCTTTCCCAAGGGATTTAGCACGTAAGTGAATGTAATGGATTCGACTGGAATTCGACCTCGGCTCTCCGATTCCTCAATCAAAGCCGCTATCCATTACTCCACCGTGCCTCCTCTGAATGTCTGTTGGTTTATTCTTCACGAAACACCATATTATAAAAGCTCTTCAAACTAAAATACTTTGCAGTTTAACTTCGAAAAATCAAAATTAAATACTCCTCTACCGCATCATAGATTTCAAATAAGGTAAAAAAAAAATAATGTCCTTTATTTTAATAATTGCTCAGCTAATATAAATCCAAGAGCCACTCATACTGAATGAGACTGATGCACGCAAGATTGACTGAGTCATTTATTTCTATTTTACGGCTTATCAAAATTTTATAGGTTAACTAAAGCTGAAAACATTTTGGGGATTTAATTTTTTTTTCTGCAAGAGAATATTAGATTACGTTTAAGGAGAAGAGGTGGATTCACACCTTTTCCAATGTTATTTACATATAAATGAATATAACGAACCCAAATGAAAATCGGCTGTACGAATCCAGATTCCGTATCACTGATGGAATATAAAGAGAATAAGGATGGTTCGTTCCAGTGTATGTTACTTGAGGGGTTTTATCCGTGAAGGTCAGAACTGGCTGGACTAATGAATGTAGCTCGTCAAAACATTTGCCATGAAAATAATGATAGTAGCTCGAGACTTGCAACGTTTCGTCTGTGAAGTGAGGGGTGTGGGGGAGATGTAGAATGGGAAATTATTAATCACCCACAAGACGATTTTGAACTCTATCAAGATTGGAAAGTGTGGGCTGAGCAGCTCCACTAATGATATAACATCAGTACTTCAATTTTGGTTTGATCTCACTCTTGTAATGATAGAGTATAGCAGGCGAAGTGTGTTACTTACGGGAGTGGTACAAGGAACTGATCATTTTTCACAGAAACTTGAGCGATGAATCGTATAGATGTCCGGGTGTGGCGTGAACATGAGTAGGGGTTAAGTGTTCAAGGCAAGGAATCTTTCTTGCGAAAACAACTATCCTGCTGCTTATTTTCTTCTGTCAACCATCAAGTCGGATTTCGATTCTCACTGGAGTCCTACAGTCGATGGCTTTGATAGCCAATGGAAGCTTAAATTTGAACTAATGGTACTCGAACGACTATATTTAAGCGAATTATATGAAATTTAAATACTCAAGTCGCCAATAATATATCAAACACTCGCATACGTTAGACACCACCTTTTACTTGGCCATCGAGCTAAGCTCAAAGTGTAGTAACTGTTCTTCACTTCTCTGTCGTGTTTGCCATCGAGTAGTTGTTTTACTGGCACATACCTATTCTATTGTTAATAGACTCTCCCACCTATAATAAGTAGTAGTAGTGGCAGTCGCCAGGAGCTCAGAGACTTAGTGAGTCAGTAGATGTCGGACATTAAAGTATCAGCCACCACAACTAGATTGCTGCGTCATTAACTATTATATCAAGTTCCTAACGTTTTGTACGTCGAACCTATTTAGGACTGACTTAGTGAAATACAAGCCTCCACTGTGAAACTATTCTATAACAGTAGTTCACGGGGATTCTAACCCATCACTAGCATTTCCCTTATTGCACAAAAGAGGCAGGGTTGCTGAATACGAACGGGACAGTAATCGTGGGTAATTTTTGTCCTTGCCCATATGTACGCGTATAGGCAAACCATGGTAAAAACCATCCCTTATCAAATTTTACCCTGATGGAGATATAGGTAAATGCAATCAATATGTCATCTATTCTCTCTTACGATTAAGGTTATGAGATATATTCTCCCGGCCTCCCCACTAAGGCAGGATGTAACACAAGGTCACATTTACGCGGGGAACGTCATACGTATGCATACGGGCCAAGGATAAAAATTTTGTCAAGTCCCCGCAACCACCTTTACATTGGCATCGATATTACACTGACCTTACTTGTCTTACTGCAAAGAAGGTGCTGTCGTGGGGTTGGAATCCCCGCGACTGCATGCATTCTTCCATCTAAAATGGGGAGAAACGTTTACTCCACTTCCGGCCAAGTAAGCCTGGGCCCGTGAAATTCATAAAACTGTATATTCTAATCCTTAAAACACAAATGACGGGAAACAGTAACTATATATCGGAAATGCGATCATGAAAAATAATATCAAATATTTGTGTGGCAGGAAATATTTTCAGCCATTACTTGATGTAAAAGGAAATAATTATTTATCAAACATAAAATATAAGATTTTTATATATATTTATCTAACTTCTCCAATTAATTTGACCTGATCGGTCAGTTCTCCCTGCAGCGCGCATTGGTTCACAAGTAAGTAAAAAGTTAAGCCAGAAAAGTGATAATAAAAATATAAATTTCACTGGCGGCAATGGTGGAAACGTTCCAAGTTTACTGAGTACAATTTTGATCTTTATTTTTGGGGTTTTGTATATTTACACTACTGGTTTTGTTAAGTGACAGTATTTTAACTAAAACGCTTCAGATACACGAAGAACAAATTCATACATAGATTTTTATATGAGGCATTCTACTTGTATTGATAGGTAGACATTCATAATAATAATTCATGATTAAAATTAATTATTAAATTAATTAAAAAATGTCTAGAAAGTGTTATAATCACTAGTTCAGCGACAGTAACTTTAGACCGAGTCTCTTATGACATATCACTATTCTTTGCAGAGTTAACTGTTAAGACCATTTGGGTTAGTTTACAACAAAGATGATGAAAAGAAAACTAAGAAGAATTACAAAAATTATTCCAAAATTTTGAAACTACAAGCATCTCTCGTTCATACGCATGTATATTCACAATAACGTTAACAACCCCAGTCCGATGAAGTCCTCTCGGATGAAACGCGTCACAGGTAAACGTTTCCATTTTATCTTGCAATTTCCTCAATAATAATACTGTTTTTGAGAGATAAAGATATATATCGTTATCTCATATATATATATATATATATATATATATATATATATATATATATATACACCAGCTTGAAAGCCACCCTATTAGGCGGCATTTAAGTTTCCTCCTGTAGTGGTTCTTGATTGGGCCTTCGGATTGTTCAGGAGTTTGACAGTCCCTAAATCTTTGCATATTCTCAGCATTGGAAGCTCTCCTGGCTGCCGTTTGATATGGGTTTTTATTTTCACAGGACTCTCTTTTCCTCGCTGCAGCCTTGACTCTTTTGATCGCATCTGGTCCTCTGTTAGCGGAGATTTCTTTTTGCGAAGCATACGCCTGCCGTATGCGACATGCAACAATAAATTACTGAAGAACTCCAAATTAATCGCTGCATTTAAGTATTCCATTAATATTTAAGCTTACCTTTTAAAAGTTCAACAACAGTTCTTCTGTCACGAATAGGCAGGAAGATTCTATTGGCCAGCGTAAGAGCCAACAGCTGACTGACACGAATGTTAACTAACATGCTAAAAAAATCGATAGCTGCATTCGTCACAAGTGGCAAAAATTTAAATCTGTATGGTATTTTACTCCAGTTAGCTCATTCCCTTGCTTAAACTCAACGTTGATTCTGAATCCGCAGAACTGGGGTAGGTGTGAAAAAGTATTTGTTATTAACAGGTTTTTTCAGTTACGAGTCCTCTTTTAAAGCTGATAGTTTTGTGTTCATTTTGTTTAGTTCTTTTTTCGTAACAGATTTAATGTTTAGTATAGAGCTTAGAAAAATTTCGCAGTGTGAGATAGGCGAGAAGTAAGGCATGTAGCAACATCAGCACGGAAAATGGCACTCTTTTAAAGGCAAGGAAGGGCAAAAATATTTTAAGTCAAGTGATAGCGATTGCTGTATGAGTCGTACGTTTTTTGAATCAAGCACGGACAACGCTGGGCCATGCTGCTAGTGGTGTATATATATATATATATATATATATATATATATATATATATATATATATATATATATAACAAACTAACTTACTTTCTTACAAACACACAAATGATAGCCATGTCAATAGCGGATTTGATAGCGGAATTTGTCTGATTTGCACGGGATGTTCAATTTCTCATATTTCGCGGCCTTGGGACAAAATAAACTAAACTTTGTAAATATCTTCGAATTCATATGTAGCTACCTGTTGTCAAACTACCATTAGCAACATAGTCTCGAATTACATTTTAGCTTATTTCCAAATTAATTAAAATATCTGCCTATAGAAATATGTATGTTTCATCATCACTTACGCCAACATCATGAGAAAACACCGGTTCCCGTACGATCAAGGAATTTAAGCAATGTCCAGCTTGATCAGTACCTAGATGGGTGACTGCTTGGGAATACCAAGTGCTGTAAGCTTAGATGTGCGGGTGGTGTAATGGATAACGGCTCGAAATTGAAAATCGAAAATTCGAGTCTCAATTCCAGTCAGTTTCGTTATATTCACTTACGTGCAAACACCCTTGGGAAAGGTATGAATCCACCTCTCCTCCCCTAGCTATGGGTTAATTAGTAAGGATTGTATCAGTAAATCATTATTTTCTTATAAATTTCTTACAATCTAAAAATATTTTCTGGCTTTAAATAATCTTCAAAAGGTTGATAATCCGTAAAAAACGAAATCAGTTTTTCTTTGTAAATTGGTTATATCGTTTAATATGTATCTGGGAAGCATATACACACACTCACACACACACACACACACACACACACATATATATATATATATATATATATATATATATATATATATATATATATATGCATGCATACATACATACATACAAGGTTAGAGTTTTAGTGTATCTATTCTTTTTAGATACCGTGTCCTTTCAGGGTGTAGGCGATCATGGCTCTCCACTTCCCCCTACCCTTTGCAGCTCTCAATAAGTTTCATCTTTCTGCCACCTCCCCCAGACCACGTTCTGTCATCCACTTGCTTAAGCCCGCCAGGTATGTCATGCGTTACTTTCCCTTGTCTCTCTTTCCCCCTATTCGACCTGTGAGTATTAGATTCTCCAGGACCTCCTTTCTCATTATCTGCCCCAGAAACTTCATCTGCCATTTCTTGGTGTAAAGTATAAGCTTCTTCCTTGATTGCATCCTCTCTAAAACGTTCGGTCCATGATATCCTCAGCATCCTTCGGTAGAACATATCTCCGTTGCCTAGAGTCTCTTCATTTATGAGAAGACCATCCAACATTCGCTGCCGTATAGGAGGACAGACGTCACGTAGCTGCTCACTACTCTTCTCTTTGTTACCACAGAAATCCTTCTGATTCAGAATACTCTGCGTAGTTTTTGGAATGCATCCTTGGTCAGCCCAATACGTCTTCGGATCTCAACGTCGCACTTACCAGCCTCCGTTAAAACACTTCTCAGATATTTAAACTTCCGCACCTGCTTGATTTTAGTGTCCTCCGACCATCAAATCGCATTTCGGGCCCATCCTTTATAGAAGGAGTTGATAAATGTTTCTCCAGTTGAATTATAGCTGATACTAGTGAATGTTTATCACATACACACACACATATATATATATGAGGCCGCCTGTCCGAGAGGTTAGAACGTTCGCATTCTTACCATTATACCCGGGCTCGAATCTCACTATGGTCGATTTGTCATGTTTTATCAGAGGGGTCGAGCGTTGGAAAGTGCCTGAAAACCATACTAAGGGTTGACCCAAGCCTTTTGAGTGAAATTGTGTAGACGGAACCCTTGGGTACTGTCGATAGCTACGCACAAGTCATCGTGGCCGTTCAAATTGTTTTTCCAGAAACTCTAACTGTGAGCATAGATTTGGTCTCTGTGGGTGTTGAATACAAATGTGCCTGGTAGACGGGTGGCCAGCTATACATACAGATTTAGATGTTCACAAGTCATCTTTAGGTAACACGCTTTTTTCATAGTTGCAGTATAAATGCGCTTGGGTAGACGGCTACCCTCGAATACCAGTGGCCAACTATACATACATATTTTCGGATAAACATTCAGTAGTATCAGTAGCCGCTATAATTCAACTAGAGAAACAATTATCAATTCCTTCTATGACTATTCTAACTGTACTATTTACTGCCAGGAGAAAATAGTACATTTAGAATTAAACTCTATCTCACCTACCCATCTTTATTTTTTCTACTGGAGTCAATAAACCTCTTGATCCATCTATTATCCTTTGCTATGTGTACAAACGTCCCATTTTAATCGCTTAATCCCTACTAGAATCCTTTGCTTTGTTCTCGAATATATGTTGTTCTCTCAGCGTTATCACTTTCCATTGTTATTTGTTTCTTTATATTTTCGAGTCGATTTGTTTCTTTATATTTTTCGCTCACGTTGTCTTTCTCACGATTCTTTAGACATTGTTACATAAACGTCACCATATTTAAAAATGTTTAAAATCCTAGTGTTTACAAGCTATTTAGTATTACTCTTGGTTTTTAGATAAAAAAAAGAAGTGATCACAAGATGGCAGAACGAATGATAAAGTTGTTCCTGTCGAGTTACCCCCTAATTTTTAAAACCGCTACCAAGGGACGCTTTCAGGACTATAAATACTCTGTGATAACTTTTTATCACACTCTTCTCACTTTTTCCCCTTACTCGTCAAAATGTAAATTTCTCGCGGAGAACGTGCTTTCTCTTTCGGGAAACGCATGAACAACACACACACAAACACACACACACACACACAAACACACACACAAACACACACACACACACAAAATGTTTTCACATTTGTTACACCCATTATTGTCTTTGTCGCTTATATACCTTTGTTGTTAATACATTATTATTTGTTGTACCTATATGTCGTTTATTTACGTGGATGCACATCCCGAGTCTGTCATGTTTGTTGTAGGCATTTCGGAAGACACACGTGGTTATCTCACAACGCGTACACTGGGCCACAACATTCCTCAGCTTATTTCTACGTACTGACTGCAACTGTGACTGTTACTGCCTACCCCTTAAGGGTGGAAAGGATGATAGGCGTAGACGTTACCTACAAATTGAACAATTTTCCCATTTGTCCTGAAATTTGAAGATCGATTTTTAACGTGAAACTGAGAGTTTTACCCAAAAGCTTTTAAAAACTGGTATTTAAAATGGTTTTGGTGATTTTTAAACATCGTTCGATATCTGACATTTTAGTGTTTCAATCTTTGATAACTTCCTCTGATTAAAAAAAAACAGCATGCTGTGTCTCGTATTTTATTTGAAGCGTAAATAAATAATGTATGTGTGTGTGAGAGAGTGACGCTGAAAAATTCTTATCTTGACTAAGAATGAATTCAAATAGAAAATTTTGATATTTGGTCATTTGGTAAGATTTTGGGATGGGTTGGTCAAAGAACCTTTCCGAACTTCTACAGAGATAGAGACAAAGTTAGAAAAGAGTTACACACTTGTTTCCACACAGTTCCATTATTATATTTACACGGTATTGTACAAGAAAAAAATAAACATTCACACACCCACACACACACACATATATATATATATATATATATATATATATATATATCGAATAACGCTTCTCTATAATTCCAAACATATCCCATTCAGACAATAAAAGCCTCCCAAGTAATGACTTTTTCCACTTGAAAGAATCGCTGATAGAAAATTATTGCGCTAGCTAAGAGAAATTGTTAGGGAAGCTGTCCTGTATAATATTGTCACAATAAACATTTGTCCAATGTCTGTGCGTTTGATGAAATCATAAAAAAAATATCCTGGATTTCTCGAGAAAATGGATTTAAGTTAATCTTGACTGAAATCCCCATTCCTATCTTATTCATTTATACATGAATACATTTTTTAATCATTTTACCCCAAACATGGCGGCAATGCCACTAGTACGAAAGGGGTGACAGAGTGTGTAAGGGAAAGGACTGAGTATAGGGGGTGTTGAGGAAAGGATGAAAAGAACGGAAGGGGTTAAGAATAAAAACACGGAACAAGGCAACAGAAGATACTGATTGACATTGCATTTAATTGTATACAGATAGGTGTTGAAAGTTCTCGGCCCGAACTAATTTCCAAAATGTGACCAAATTTTTCAACATCAAAACTTATTTTCGAATCCATTCTTGGAGGGGTTAATAACTTTTCAATATTACTTGGAGATTATATACCGGGTGTAACAACAAAATTGTCTAATTGTTAAATTAAGATCTGAACTGTTGTTTCTAAGAAACGATTAAAGATATCTTACTGGAATTCTAAGAGGTTTTTATAACACTATTGGACTCTACTGTGAGCAATACGTCAATATATAAATTAACAGAAGTATCGTGATGAAATCGATCATAAACGAAAATGACATGCTCATCATTAATAAAGCATAGCTAAGGATCGGAAACTCATGACACATTGAAGTAAAGTTCATTATATATATATATATATATATATATATATATATATATATATATATATATATATATATATATATATATATATAGATCATTTCCCAACATGGTGATCCCCGTCCTCGCTAAACTTCTGTTTGTCCTGGAGTAATAAGGTTCCTGACATATTTCATTTTAGGTCTTTTTTTCACTGATCTTTGGACTGTCAACGTTGAAACTTCTCTCTCATGTGCCAAACGTCTTATGAATTGAGTTGGATCTTTTCTAATTGATCTCTTTAGCTCAAATTTGAAATTCTTCTTCCTGTTGTCACGTCCTGATCCTGTTTTCCTCTCTACTCTTTCCTCTTCTTTAAAATGTATTCACGGTTCCCTTGATGGTTCTTGAATGCAGCCAGAGTATGAAAGTTGGTACCATAACTGAAGGCCTGAATGATCATTTTCGTCTGCTCATTGCTTATTTGGGAAGAGAGTGGTTCTGCCCAAAAAGAAAAAAAGAAAAACAATTTTAAACAATATCTTTTTAGCTCAATACCGAAGTGGTTTTCAGTTATTCTTACGACCAATGGTGTCAAGATGGCTAAACGTCTTATCTAAAAACCGGGGAAAAAAAGAAATTCGATTTAGTATTTTTTTTTTTTTTTTATATTAAACATTTTGTGAAGTGGATAATTATGCTGTACACACACTTTATATATATATATATATATATATATATATATATATATATATATATATATATATATATATATATATATATATATTAAAAATTTTTACAAAGTCCGACAATTTATTTATTAAAACATTTTTATGTTTAACGTTCTTTTTATAGATACAAGTATTTAAGTAAATGCTATGTTTTATAATAAACCTATTAAATAACATTTACGCTGAATGTCCCTAAAATTTTCATACAAAATATTCGTCCTTTGACAGGAGGTTCGAACCTGCAAAGGACGAAACCGTCATTGAAAATTTCCTAACAT